GTGAATAAACTAGACAACAATAAAATCGAAGCCAAAAGTACACCAAGATTCATACCTGACACCTATAGATTATGACAACACATTTCTGAGGAAACAAATATATTGTGGCATAGTAGTGGCAATAAAAATTCTTCTTCTACTTCTTCCTTTTTCTCTTTGATTGCTTTCAGGTGTAAGCCTGAAAATATTGAAAGAAGTGACATATCCTTAGAGTTTCTCCTCAGGTAAAGTGGGTGTATATTATCATAATTGTCTCTGTTCTGCAAAGGTTCAACACTGTTAAAACAAATCTTTAGCCATTATTTTGCCAATTCTACAATTAGATTCATCAATGTCTCCATCTTTAACTCCTTAAACAAGCGGTATTTCAGTCGGTTATGTCTTGCGGAGTCAGAAGATAGCAATCCTCAAGCCTGGACTGTATTTTTTTTGTCAGTTTCACTTGGTTGTTGTTGCTCAAGCTTCTGTACTGTGTTTAAAAACTCACCTCGCTCATTTAGCTTCTTGAGAACTGTCTCACCTGCTCCCCTTATAGTACCAGCAAGCTTTTCAAGATTTCATTGTTCAGCTGTGTACTTACATATCCTTCTACCTTTCCTTTACATTCCCGCCTCCTCTGTCATCCACTCTGCTGTAAGTAATGCACCTCTGCTTGTGGGGAAAAAATATGGACAGAGTTGATAAAATCAATGCTGTACTGACAGGGCTGGTTGATAATGAGTTATGACGCAAACGTGGTTATGTGTCCTTGGAGTAAAGCCCATTGAAGCATGTTTGTGCCATCTTCCTGATCAGGGTAGGAGACATTATAACATACTTCTCCTGGGTACGATCAAAAGAAGTATTTCAGAAAACTAAGCATGTTTAGTGACATAACTTAAGATAAGAAAACATAGCATAACGTCTTCTCCATCCATCACCCATTGTGCAGTAATAATACTCAAACTTTAAATGCTATATAACTTTGAAAAGTTGACAACTGTTAAGTTTTTCAAATGCAAAATTTCCAGCACTGGCACCACTGCAACCACTACATGTAAAACTTATTTCTGTACCATCATTATCATTGTTTGAATTCTTGATTGTCTAGAAGATGATTACATTAGGTACAAGGAGCTATCTTGTCTAGAAGATGATTACATTAGGTACAAGGAGCTATCTGTATACTGGGTTGCTTGCCCTTTTCTCTGTTTTCCCACAATTCCCTTCACTTCCTCCCTGATTGACATGTTTTTACTTTAGATCTGGCAGAAACTAGTTAGGAACATTGGCTGAAGCAGTTTCACTTATAGTTTAGTTATGCTTGCTTTTTTGCTATATGGGACCATGTTTGCATGTATGTATGTATATTTGGAGGAGTTTATGTGTGTGTGTGTATATGTGTAGATGTTACTAAGTGCTCGTGTAACAGAAACAAAATGGTGTCTCATGGTGGCCTTTTCTTCTACACTGGAACAGAACGACTCACCACTCAGTGAAGGTGTGATGTTTGCTGGTGGCTCGTATATTGATCTTAACTCTTTGAGTCCCAGGGGGCTTAGCATCAGAGGCCCAAGGGGTAGTCAAAAGAGATGTAAAATCGGCGCATCTTGCATTCATTGGGCCTCTAGGTGGAAACCTATGAACGTATGATGCGTTCCTTGGGACTCAAAGAGTTAAGGGATGTCTCTTTTCAAGCCCTCAGTAACCAGCTAACACCTCCACTGGGATAAGACAGTGTAGTGCATTGACAGCCGTCATCTCCTTATTGTTGTACTGGGCTAGTCGGACGTCCTTACCACTTGACTAATGCCTCCATGTATGCTACCCAAAGATTGAATGAGAAGCACACAATAATTAAGAAATAATATCTAGTACTCTCCTAGGTGTCGGCTCTGTGGCTAAGTCGATGCGAACGCTTCGTAATGCTGGGATGCCGGGTTCGTTCCCAGCTGCGCGCCATGCACCTTGTGTTGGTTTCGACAATGGTATCAAGAAAGCTGACTGTCCAGAAAGCAATGGCAAACTACTGGACGTAAATTTGCCTAGAAAAACCACACAATAGCCAGGGGCTGTTGGAGTTGGTTCTGCAATGTCCTGTATAGGATACGCAACTAACTCCCTAGGTATTCTCAAAGAACTTCAAAGAATCTAAGAAGAGATAGTGTTCTTTCAACAAATGAACTTTAATAGAAGAATCATATAACATAAAGATAAATTCAAGAAATCTGATCACAGAATAGGTATGAGTTATCACAGACAAAGTTTTCCAGTACACAGAATGGATCTTTTACAATCAGTTGATTCATCATCACAGTTTACTGTGCTCTATTCCTACTTCATCCACCCTGTCCATTATACTCCAGCTATACTTTGTGACCAATGTCAGATGAAGAACACATACATTTGACCTGAACATAAGAGTTTATGAGAATCCTCTGGTCCAGCCAAGGAGTATGTAAATCATGGTAAACAACAATTTGTAGATGATCCAATTTTAGGGTTACAATATGAACTATTCCATGACAGTATCCTAGAGTAGATTCTGTTTTAGACATTCAGTAGATACCACTGAAGAGTTTAGCAGCTTTCCTTGGATGAAATATCTTCATATTTTTCAATGAATTAACACTGTTTATACAGTGACTCTATTCCATCTAAAGGTTCAGCAAACCCCTTGATGCCAGTACAGTTGAATGGCTCAAGATCAATTCAGAGTTTGCCATTAGAATATGGCATAGCTCCTGATGTTGATGGTGAAGCTAAGGTATTGGTCTGAACCCAGCCATGTAAAACCTTCCGGAACCAGATTTGTTTCCATCTCGCAGGAACTGTCCTCCATACATCTAATTTTCCCTCACTGAATTTCTTCCTATATCATTAACTCAAAAAAATAATTCAGCTGAACTCCTAATTGAGAAATGCCAATCATACCTGATGTATAATTTAACATTTACGATTCACAACGAAGAATCAGAGATGGCGGTAGCTCATTTTCAACACAATCAGTAGTGTTTAGGATTTGCATAGGATTTTAGTTGCTATATACATATATATATATATATATATATATATATATATATATATATATATATATATATATATATATATATATATATATATATATATATATATATATATATATCACATACGTGAGATGAGAAAGGTTAACAAGATACTTAGTGTAGGTACTATGTAACCTGACACTGCTGTCGAAATGACAAGATCTCATTTAACGCATTTACAGCACATGAGTGAAGAAGAACAAATTGATGACAGGAGAATATGCTGTTGTTGAGGTGCCTGGCAATGGCTGAGTATGTGTGAATTTGTGTTGGAGATTCTGCCTTGTCAACCAAGGTCATTCCTAGGAAAAACACATTCAGAAATATCTTTAGCCACATATCATATATATCAGATATATGCTCAGACAAGGATAAGAGTGGGCACAGATGTAAACTCAGATATAGTCTGACAATAGATTCATGATATTCACAGATATAGATGAGCAGACACAGGTATGATTTATGGGTATAGATCAAGCATGTGCACACTTAAGCAGTGATATCCGCAGTGGTAGTGACATTCCCAGCATGGCATATAAAAGGCATCTAATGGTACTAGCAAGGATAAGACAATCATGAAGATTACCAGTGGTACTGATTTACATTTAAATTAAATAATTTTAAGTTTAGTGTTAGTTTTAATTTCTGTTGACTTCCACAAATCTCCTAGTGTTATGAAAACTCCTCGCTTTTCTCATACTCTAAAAATTTACCCTCTAGCATTTTAAGTAGTAGAGCTTCTTGTCTGTAACTGTTATTTTTGTGTATTATTCAGTAATTTGGAGCAATGTTTTCCCAGTTAGGAATGTGAATGATGAGGACACAGTGGGTTGCACAGTTTTTTTTTACTGCAGAATTAGATAACATACAATGAACAAAAATAAAATCTTAACTGGAGGTAAGAGGAAAATACTGGTTCATGGTTTGTTCCTCCACTTCTGGACTTTGTGGGGGTCTTTTTTCTAGAACTTGAGTTTTACATGGACATCCATTTTACAAATTTTGACTTTATGAATGCAGACTGTTGGCTCCTCACCTCTCAGGCAGACCTCTTATGACTTTGAAGAAAACACTCCTAATTAGTCATCTTTTATGGTGTGTGTGTTACTGGTGCAGTGGCTCTATCTTTCTTCTTCTTCTTCTTCACTTCCTCTTTTACTGTTGTGGGTGTCGAGGGAGATATAAGGTTCTGTTTCTAGCTCTTCTGGCTGCCTCGACCATAGGCACATCGTGCTGTTGTAGAGTTTCTCTGATGTTATCCTTCCATCTTGTTCTTGGTCTACCCCGTGCTCTACGTCCTTCTTCTCTTCCCATGTATGCTTTGTATGGTATGGTGTCACAATGCATTCTCTCTAAGTGGGCAAACCATTGGCTCTATCTTTTTCCCCCTGAAATTGGGCTCTAGAACACACAGTGGAATCTGAACTTGGTTTGATGTAATACCACGGGCATCTGTGTCTTAAGCATTGCGAAAGTGCTTCATAATGCCAGGGTGCCGGGTTAGATCCCAGCTGCAGACGATTTGTCTTACCTTGGATTTGACAGTGGTACCGAAAGCTCACCATTTAGAAAGCAGTGGCAAACTACTAAATGTGAAATCTGCCTAGAAAAACCATAAAATCAAAAAAAAAGCTGGTGTTGGTTTTGCAACGTCCTATAAGGTATATGCAACTAGGGACACTGAAAGATGAAATGAGCAAAGAATTACAAAAGAAGCACTGAAATGAGAAACAAAGCGGTCTGAGAAGAAGAGAACGTTTAAAGAAAATATTAAGATGAACATTATTACGAGAGGCTAAAAATGCTGGGCTGAACTCTATATCAGAAGTCGAGAGAGTTGGATGCAATAGAGCAGGGTGGAGGAATCAAATGCGAGCCCTGTGTGATGTCTAACGACACTCAAAGGAGGATGATGATAATGTGATTAAATATAACCCATGTTTGTTTCCTTCACAGGCTCAGCTCTTGGATATGAGGTCCGACAGAATTGAGCTGCAGGCAGCCAAAGCTGTTGCTGAGCAGGAGCTGCACACACTCTTGCTTCAGCTGCATTCATCACAACTTGAAGTTCATGAGCTGAGAGGACTGGATGTTGATTCTCAGGAAATTAAAAAGAAATTGGTAAGATTTGTAATGCATAAGTAAATAGAAAGCAATTTTTATAGATAAGCCATGGTAGCATAGCAGCTAGACATTCATCTTTCTGCCTTAAGGTATTGGGTTCAAATCCGTATTGAGTCTGTTTTTCAAAATTGTTCACTTAGCAGCTAACAGTTTTATGTATTATCTCAGAATTATGCCCCTTGTTGCTCTCACCCTTTTCTGGGCAGCATTAATTTTCCCATGGCCACACATTTGTCTGGTCATTCTACTAGCCAGTCAGAAATGTGATTTCTGATGAAGATATGTCAGTTGAGTAATTTTATATATTCTAGTTTGTACTTGTGGTATTGTAGATTTGTGTACGTGCTGACAAAGGTTCTCTAGCTGCAACGTTCACGTTTTTATTGTGAAGTTGACTGGTTCTGGTTTTATTTTTATTTTATATCTTTTTATAAAGTTTTGCCAAATTGAACTTCGCTCCCAGGTCGACCCAGCCTAGCATGGCTGCCAGGTAAAATTCCTGGGTAGTAAAGGCGGCCAGCGTGAGCCTTTGAGTCCCGAGTTGTCTAGAGAAATATGAACCTTAAATCAAGGTGACAAGGTTAATTGATTCTATTTACATTGTTGATCGAGGTTCCAACATCACTGTAGTCAGGTCACCCCAAAACTGCTATATTCCTTTATACAACATGTCTTTCACTGCCCTGTTTAAAAACTAGTGAAAAACTTGTCAGTTCTGGAAAATTCTTTAAGCTTGCACATGTAAAGTATTAATGCATTAGTCAGTCAGATGTACCAGTATTACCGGTCCCACACCAGAACTTTAGTTCACTCCATTTAATCTAGAAGTAAATAAATGATGCCTGAAATGTATATGTGTACCAAGCACACGTTGATAAAACCTGAAAACCTGATAATAGTTTTTAAAAAAAATATCCTTGAATTGGAGTTTTTTATACTTTTGTTGAAATCTGTTGGCACCTTTTTTATCATTGACTATGGTGTTTCATTATGGTTTCAAAAGGTATGAGAGTCACATCTCAAGGTGGTTATTTGTGTCTGTGATATTTGTATAAAACAATTTCAAGCATAAGTGTGTTCATAGGTTAATTTTTTGTATAACACTATTTTTTTAAAAAGTCTTATTTGTGTTTAAAGTAATGAATAGTCTACAAAGCATAGAATACTTTTTTAAAAGTCTTATTTGTGTTTAAAGTAATGAATAGTCTACAAAGCATAGAATACTTTTTTAAAAGTCTTATTTGTGTTTAAAGTAATGAATAGTCTACAAAGTATAGAATACTCATTTAATATTCTTTGTGTTTCTAGCCGTAGGGCGCAGAGTTTTTGCTTGTTCGCCCATCTCTGGAATTTGTTCATGTTCCAGAACTTGAGATTTGCCTGCACATCTGTTTTACAAATCTGGCCTATTTGTAAGCAGACTGTTAGTTCCCCACCCTCTCACCCAGATGCACTTTAACTTCGAAGGGAACACCCCTAAGTAGTTGACTTTTGCAACATTGTTATTTCAAGGGAAGGACGCCGTAAGTCTGTTCCTCCCTGCCCCCCCCCCTTCCAAAATGGGGCCCCAAAACCCACACACAGATACTTCCTTAGAACACTACTGAAAAGTGCATGGCTTCTGGTGTTAATTTAAAAAAAAAAATTTTTTTAAATAACAATTAGCTGAACCAAAACCAGAAAAAAATGTCTGGCCTTCTATGCCAGCATCAACAAAACCACCTGCGTTTTCTCCAGGAATCAGAACTTCTTAGCAGGCAAAAAACAGCTATGGAAGTTGCCAGGCTTGAGGCTGAGGTGAAAATGTATGCCAGAGACAACCATGAGTTAAGGCAGTACATACTGGCACTACAGAGTGAGGTCTATGGGGCCAGACTGGCTGCTAAGTACCTGGACAAGGAGCTGGCTGGCAGGTATGTAGTTCTTGTTCTGGTCACAGTTGTTATTGCGGTTTTTTGTTTTTTTTTCTGACTAATATTCTTGTCAACGTATTATTGACGGTCTTGTTCTTGTCCCTGCTATTATTTATGGTTTTCAGCTGTATCTTTTTTTATTTATTCTTTTTCATTTGTACCTTAGAGTGGTCGTGGGCACATTCTTTTGTGGTTTGCAGCTAGACTGCAATATTTGCATCTTTTGACCCAGCACATCAGAGTTGAGCAAACCCTTAATAAGCCATCTATTTAGAAAAGTTTGCCTCCCGCAGGTACTGGAGGATAATTACTACGATCGAGCAGTTGACCTTTTCTCACCCCCCCCCCCTTTTTTTTTTCTCTTTAAAGGTAACCCTGGGGTAGCCATTTCTCACTGTATTGTTTTTATCTCAGCTTTTTATTTTGGATTGTTTTATTGGATATTTTCTGACTATAGTTCGTGTTACCACTTTTATTATATTATTGCGCCTCTTCCTCACATTTAAACCAATTGTTGGCACAAAATCATTGATTATTTTTTTTATTTCTTGTTTTGTTGTGTTATTTCCTTGTTAAACATTTGCTGATGTTGTTGAATATATATATATTTTTTTTTGACTATTCATATTCTCTCCCCCCCCCCCCCCCCTTTTCCCCCATCTCTCTCTTTTTTTAATTAGTTTTTTTTTTAATTTCCTGCTATCGTTCTGTTATTGCATGTTCAGGATATGAGAAACTTGTTATTTTTTTAAGTGTGTACGAACTATGGGAATGGTAAAAGATAGGATGGCATGGCATGAGGTGGATGAAGGTTTTTGCTCTTTTTCATCTTTTTCTTCTTCTTCCTTTTTTCCACCTCTTATCACCCAGTGGATCATATAATTCAAAACAGAAACAAAAAATGCGGAAATTGCACATCTTCCTCACATCAGTCTGTACACCGGAGCATGCCGGCATGACAAGTGCGGAATGAGCGGATCAACTAATGGACCAATGCATGTAGGAAAAATCGTGGACAGAGCAGATATCATAAAGGCTGTATGGAGTATGGTTAGTGGATAATGACAAATCTCTGACAATAACACGCTTTCATGACATGGGAGTGAAGCACATCTGTGCCATCTTGGAGGTTGAGGTAGGGTATATTATATTTAGCGCCTCATAGGAACAGTCACTAAAGGTACCTTGGGGTGGCTGCCGTATTGGAGGATTAAGCACACATGGCAAGGCCCAATGTGCAGTGATGTCGATTGTGACAACATAACATATGCCCTCAGCCAACTAATGCCATGGTTCACATTGTTTGTTGTACCAAGTTTAATAGTTCATATTGTTTGTTGTACCAAGTTTAATAGTTCATATTGTTTGTTGTACTAAGTTTAATAGTTCATATTGTTTGTTGTACTAAGTTTAATAGTTCATATTGTTTGTTGCACCAAGTTTAATAGTTCATATTGTTTGTTGTACTAAGTTTAATAGTTCATATTGTTTGTTGTACCAAGTTTAATAGTTCATATTGTTTGTTGCACCAAGTTTAATAGTTCATATTGTTTGTTGTACCAAGTTTAATAGTTCATATTGTTTGTTGCACCAAGTTTAATAGTTCATATTGTTTGTTGTACCAAGTTTAATAGTTCATATTGTTTGTTGTACCAAGTTTAATAGTTCATATTGTTTGTTGTACCAAGTTTAATAGTTCATATTGTTTGTTGTACCAAGTTTAATAGTTCATATTGTTTATTTGTTGCACCAAGTTTAATAGTTCATATTGTTTGTTGTACCAAGTTTAATAGTTCATATTGTTTGTTGTACCATATTGTTTGTTGCACCATGTTTTATAGTTCATATTGTTTGTTGTACCAAGTTTAATACCAAGTTTAATAGTTCATATTGTTTGTTGCACCAAGTTTAATAGTTCATATTGTTTGTTGTACCAAGTTTAATAGTTCATATTGTTTGTTGTACCAAGTTTAATAGTTCATATTGTTTGTTGCACCATGTTTTATAGTTCATATTGTTTGTTGTACCAAGTTTTATAGTTCATATTGTTTGTTGTACCAAGTTTAATAGTTCATATTGTTTGTTGTACCAAGTTTAATAGTTCATATTGTTTGTTGCACCAAGTTTAATAGTTCATATTGTTTGTTGTACTAAGTTTAATAGTTCATATTGTTTGTTGTACCAAGTAAAATAGTTTGTACTGTTTGTTGCACCAAGTTTAATAGTTCATATTGTTTGTTGTACCAAGTAAAATAGTTTGTACTGTTTGTTGCACCAAGTTTAATAGTTCATATTGTTTGTTGTACCAAGTTTAATAGTTCATATTGTTTGTTGTACCAAGTTTAATAGTTCATATTGTTTGTTGCACCAAGTTTAATAGTTCATATTGTTTGTTGCACCAAGTTTAATAGTTCATATTGTTTGTTGTACCAAGTTTAATAGTTCATATTGTTTGTTGTACCAAGTTTAATAGTTCATTTTGTTTGTTGTACCAAGTTTAATAGTTCATTTTGTTTGTTGTACCAAGTTTAATAGTTCATATTGTTTGTTGTACCAAGTTTAATAGTTCATATTGTTTGTTGTACCAAGTTTAATAGTTCATATTGTTTGTTGTGCCAAGTTTAATAGTTCATATTGTTTGTTGCACCATGTTTTATAGTTCATATTGTTTGTTGTACCAAGTTTAATAGTTCATATTGTTTGTTGTGCCAAGTTTAATAGTTCATATTGTTTGTTGTACCAAGTTTAATAGTTCATATTGTTTGTTGTACCAAGTTTAATAGTTCATATTGTTTGTTGTGCCAAGTTTAATAGTTCATATTGTTTGTTGCACCATGTTTAATAGTTAATATTGTTTGTTGTGCCAAGTTTAATAGTTCATAATGTTTTTTGTGCCAAGTTTAATGACTTAAATTGTTTGTTGTGCCAAGTTTAATGACTTAATTGTTTGTTGCACCAACTTTAATGACTTATACTGTTTATTGTGCCAAGAGTTTTATGCTGCAGTGGACACAGTCTCAATTATTCAGCTTTGAGTCCTTTGTATGTGTGTGTTTTGTGTGTGTGAGTGTGTGTGTGAGTGTGTGTGTGTGTGGGGGGGGGGGGGGTTAAAAGGTCATGTCACTAAACCTGGGTGTCTCCATTAGTGGACCTCTCTTCTCCTGGCTCACACAGAGACACTCAGTACAGCGCACAAACTTTGTGACATGGGCAAGGAATTATATGTGTGTGAATTATGAACCAACCAATGTATAAAATTAATTTAGGGTGGTTTTCTAGTTTTGAAATGTAGCCAAATCAGCTCTTCCGATTTCCACCTACCAGAGGAATTTAACATGCTTTTCCATGAAACTTAGCTGCCTTTGCCACTGCCTCTGAAACAGGAAAGGGTTTATCGTTTGGTAAAGATACATTTGATCAGGAAATGAGAGCCAGTCTCCATTGATGCTATCTGTCGACCAGATCCCTTAGCCACTTATGACTGCACCATTCGCTGCACACCCTAATGATCTGGTTGTACCTCTGCATTGTTTGCTAGCTTCCATGGCGCCCTGGCCACATCTAGCTTCAACAAATAAATGAACAAAACCTTATTTTCTAAGGGTCACAAATCGGGCATGCAGGCTCATCTTACATTCAGCCCTTCCAGACACTCATCTTTCACAAATCAGCTGTATTTTTATCTACAAAGCATGTTATTTTCATATATGACAAAAATATATTATGAAGATAGGTTGGTTAAAAGGTATATTTTTGCAGCTCTCTTTTCTGTGAACAACTGTTGTTTCTGGAATGTGTTGTGAGTAGGCCTAAGCTACTGAATGCGCCTGTGTGCAAGGAGAAGAACTGCAGGGGGAAGCACCTATGGCGCAACGGTCCGTGAATATAAAATAATTTTTTTTTTTTTAAACTTTGCGGTGGTTGTGCTTAAAACGTTCAAAACTAAGAACACATGACACCGCTAGACTATAAGAATGTCCTAGGAAATCACCTACAAAATCTCACGGCCGAAGAGCTGGGGCGACTTTCATGAGTTGTACCAAATACAAAAGCATATATGGCAAGTACATACATTCAGATATACATACATACACTCTCATACTTACACTCCACAATTCATACACATGCACACTGATTTAAATCAGAACACTTAGAACCAGTCAGTAGGGCTGCCTGTTCATTTCTACATGAGATGGTTTGGTCCTGAGACGAGAATGCACTGCACCGACTGCCACAAGAAGCCGCACATAAATAATATAAAGAACATAGAGCGAAGGAAAACCGCGCAAAATAAAGAACAAAAACATCTAGAACAACCATAAAGAAATTAAGATAAACTTCTACAATGCATTAGAAAGTTCACACAGAAGATCCACACTCCTTTTCGACTCTTGGATGAGCTAACTGGCGCAAGAAAGCAAGAGTATCTTGGGTGCCCAGGTTAATTTTGTATACATCCTTTTGAGGTGGATGCCAGATATTCAAGGAAACAAAAAGAAAGAAATTATGACATGCATTGGCAAAGTAGCAGCTTCAGCTTTAACTGTACACTATATCTGGATTGATCAAGCCAGTTTGCCTCGCGTCGTGAGCTCGTTTTAGGGACGCCTTGTTAAGTTCTGACTGTGTGCGTGTCTGCATGTGTATATGTGTGTGTATGCGTATTGCGTATGTCTATGTGTATGTCTGTGTTTCCCTGCCTGAGCGTGTGTATGTGTTTGTTTGTATGTGTGTTTGTCTGTGTGGGTTTATGTCTGTGTGCGGCTGTGTGTGTGGCTACGTGTGTGTATGTCTAGGGTGTATGCGTGTGTGTTTTAGAGCGTGTGTCTGTGTGGGAGACTGTATGTATGTATGTATGTATGTGTGTGTGTGTGTGTATTAATATGTGCGTGTGTTACGTACGCATGTACGTTGTATGTGTGTGTGTGTGTGTGCATTTTCGTAGGTATATGGATGTATGTGTGTATTGGGTGCCTATGTGTGTGTGTGTGTGTGTAAGT